TTTACACGTATTATTTATACACATTATTTACATATTTACATTATTACATATTTACATGTATTATGTGTTTACATTACACATATTATTACACATATTTATTAAATGCAACTGTGCAAGTTACAAAGTATGGAACTTATGTGAAATGTACTATGTGATGCACAACAAAGCTTGTATACAACAATCGATTGGCGGCATGTAGTTAGTATTGTCACCTTATCACCTTGAATGAATTCACCTGGTTCTTGAAGTTCACTTCAACTCGTCCCTCCAGCTCTCAAAATGCAAACCACTCAATCCAGGAAGTTCCCAGAAATTCAGAGAAGCCGGGGTTCTGTTCGACGGATTGCTTCGGTTCTACGCGCTTTTTGCCCAAACTGAGGCGGTACCCCTAGGGGGGGGGGGGGGGGGAGGAGGACAAGGAGGGGCAGTTGACTGCTTGGTATTTGCCAGGGAGACAAACCTGAAAAGCATGAAGCTATCTTGGCTTTTTGAAATTTTTCTACATCTCCAGCATGGGCAATGTTCCATACCACTATATTGGTTCGTGGGGTTCATATCGGGTTAAGAGAAAACAAAAACATATCAAATGACGGCTTGGAATTCGCTGCCTCTTGCTCCTCCTCTCACTCAGGATTGACTTATCAGCATTGAGCGGGGAATCGGCCAACCCAGGATCTAGGCCTCTGGGGCTTACCAAATTGGACAGGCAGGTCAAATGTCATGGTTTGAGGTCAAAGGGCACCAGATTAGCAGTCAACAAAATGTGCGTACAGAGGCCACTGAGGAGCCAGAAGTCTAGTAGTATGACTGTCAAGTGTGTATCCACATCCTTCACACCAAACTAGATTAATTTTGGAATGCTTCTCAAGGTCTCACATCCCCCTTCCAAATAAGCAGGAAACTAAACCATGGCTTTGTGGGCATGCCACCTATCAACTGCTGAATATAGAACAACAACAATATGTGAATGAACATAAGTGTCATACCAAAACCAACACAAAATCTTCTCCTGGCAGCTCATGCAACTTGATATTTAACAGCTTGATTGGTATTTTGCCACAAACTTTTGAAAAATCACAGAAATGTTCATCATCAGACCAACTTTAAAATAATCCCTGCTGGACCATTCCATGCCAGACCAACAGCTGAAAAATTGCTACAACCACACATGACGTAAAAAGTGTGTGTGGTATGCAATAACATCTCACCATAACATGCTACAACTGACCAGCAATGCATCATGGCACTTAATGTGCCTTGAAGATTGTCCAACAGCAGTATGATTTGCTTGATTATTTCTATTTCTATGGAAATTGTGCCTATGATAGGTCAAGCACAACTTGCCCTACCCACTCCAGTTTGTTCCTTGCACAACTGTCCCCATAGGACAACTGGTATGGCAAACACAGTCAAAGCCTGACCATTCTATTTAATTTCATATCTTAATCAAAATGCACGATTCCACACCACACCAGGCACCACTATCACTGGGCTCAATTGGCTCAACACTCACCTCCGAATCCTCCCGCTTCCTGATCATGATCTCACGTAGCTTGGGAAGCCCTCTCTTGCCAAGCTCTATGCCCCCTCCACCACTACCAGCACCCTCATTGCCATTGGTATCCATAATGTAATTCTGGGACATGAGTGGACTGTACCACACTTAAGTTGGTTAAGTTGATAGGTGCTGTGTCAGTTGGCCAAGACACACTTTGACCACATTTCTGGAATCAGTCAGAACCACTTTGGAGGTGGCAGTAAATGTGAAATACAACTGCCACCAATGAGTAGTTAATGGCACAGTAGCATGTCTTCATTTCACCTGAAAAGAGGCCAGAATGTCAGATATGAAATGACACTCACTGTTTAATTTGTCTCTCACTTACTGTCAAATTTAGCGGAATGTGCTGCGTTCCAGAAGGCATCAAATTATGTTTATAAGGACACCTACCAATAAAGACTTAAATGCTGCTTTCATAATTTGTAAAGCACAATCACTGAGCTCATTTTACAAAATACAATTTTGTGACCTCCATTTTTTGCTTCAGAAGATAAAAATTTATTTCTTGAAATTGTGCAAAGCACATCATGATCCTCATATAATATCAACAAACAAAGATAAAGTGCCCAAGGTTATCCACATACTAGATACCACTTTGTGCTCCAGAAACTGTATACAAACTAAGATGAGTTAATCATTATGACTGTTGCTCTCATGCACAATAAACACTACTACAAACAAATATGAAAACCTTAAAATTATTACTTGCACATCATAACTGATTGCTTGATACCTCCTATTGGCACAATGCAGAACAGCCAAATTTTTCAAATGGAAAAAATAACATTCACATCCCAGGGCAACTGTGTCATTGCATGGTAAGGCAGATGCAGTGCTTATCATCTTTGCAGTCTGGTCTGGCCAAACGGCAAAGGCAAAATGGTTCATTCAGGGCTTGCATACTAAATTTTGCTCACTCAGAACCTTCATCCATCCATGTCTGTCATCCATGTCATGTCATCGGCAACTTTTAGCAGCAAGTGTCTTTGACACCAGATTTGGTCTCTCTTGTAGTTAACAGCCAAGCCATTTTTGCCTTTTCCAAGTTAAATAAATACACATTTATTTCAATTGCACCACAGGATATTGTGGCCAACCAAATTATATGTATCATATCACAGCCAATATTCATTTTGGATTACCAAATAGCTATCCAACAATTGTGTATGGATCACAATGACTTTATGAAGTGAATACTGGAATCACTTTAAGATATCACTCAGGAACATTACAAGACAATGAGTCAGCATATAAAACAATCATACACTACAAGGAACAGTTAAGAGGCATTGCTGCATTAAGGCTGGTATATGTGTGAGCCAGACTAGCTTCAGGCTAGCTACACTAAATTCTGAAAACATGCTGCCTTGGAAACATTACTTCTTCAAGCAAAATTACATTTTTCCTTTAAATCACCAAACATTATAATTCCTTCAAACAATACAGCACTGAAATCTGCAGCATCCATGCAGTGCCTTAACTTAGCATCCTAGCATCTGAACTTAGCAGCTTAGCATCCATGTGGCAATTCACTCACATTTAAGATGGCCACGAGATCACATTTGTTTGCGCAGTTTTGTTACTGCCTTCACAGACCTAACCCTGCTTCGTTGCACACATACACCCACAAACATGCGCACACGGACTCCACGCCCACATGCAGCACTGACCGTTACCTTCGGGTGACGGTCTTTCCTGGAGGAGAAAGTATCGGTTCAGGGTTACCTAGCAATCCATCCTATCCACCCACCCCTTATCTTTTTATTTGACCAACCTATCCAGGCGCGTGACTTGATAAAACAGGGCGATAATCACCAAAATCAACATATCCAATGACGTCAAGTCCTGCCATCTCATCGCCGGGTTTGACACCCGTGGCAGAGCTTCATTGGCTACAATATAACAATATGCATAACTCAGATAGATTTTATGCAGAACTTATTCACGTACTGGAGGTATGGGTTGATGACGCTATTAAAGCGTCGATTAAACCACGATTAAAAAAATAGACAAACATCAATGACATCACGCAGTCTCATCTCCCCACCACTCGGTTTCTCATCAGCTTCTGCGCCACATTCAGTAATATTTGCTTACTTAGCCGCGAAGCTTTTAGCCGTGTGCCCGAAGCAGGCAGGCTGTTGTTTGTATTTTTGCAAGCAAGTTTTTGAGTTGATATACTATCCAGAGCTGCTAGTTGACTGGCCGAACTGATCTATTTGGTGAGAGTAAAGGCACGGTCACCTTCATTTACTGCGGGCTGGTGCGGGCGGCAGGTGGGTGACGTGGGTTGGTGGCTAGTGAATATATTCGTCGAACCGACTATATAAAGGAGTGTTCTTGAAGGACTTTGCTTTAGCGGAAGACTGCAGGCATAAAGGTATCCAACACTGCATGTAGTATATGTAGGAATCTGTTGAATCGAGGGATGCGTGGGGGAACTGATATTCACGTTGTAGGCCTCGCACTTCTTAAGGTGGTCGTAATCGAGTGAAAGTGTCAACCATATAATATTGGCATTAGTAGATGCACTGGGAGTTTTCATGAATACTAAAACTGCTTAATTTGTCATTAGAATGATAAGTTTAGAACCTTTATCACGCATGTAAGCTGTAGGTGTCTTAAACATTGGAAGGCTGTAAGCTAAATACATTTTTTTCCTTGTTATTTAAAATGGAAGCCTTGAAGCTTTCAGAGCTGTGAGGTTTTGTGCATGATTATGTGGAGGGAGAATCTTTTTTGAGTTACCATTGAAACATTGATTACCAGATGCCAGAATGATTCACAACCATTTTTGTGACATTATGTGGTCAGTCCCCTATACCTTGATACACTCAAGATAATGACTCCAGTACAATAGATATCAGCAAGACCCTTAGACCCCTAGCAGCAACTATTGCCATGTATGGTGCATTGCACCTGCTGCAAAATATTTTCATGTGCAATACAGCGGAGATGTAGTCATGTTAAACAAACATTTTGGTACAAAGTGACCACTGCTATTGGTGCACCCTTTATCCCCATTAAAAAACTGGCATTGTGACCCCACAGAGTATGTACCTCTTTCCCCTATTTGATGAAACATAACAATGCAGTCAGGATAGCTGTTCCAGTACAGCAGGTGATGACCAATTTAAATTTGATTCCTGCATCACCCTTCACTATTAATAGCAAGACACTGTCTGTTTGACTTAGGAATCACATCAGGTTAAGGGTGTCTAAGCAATGCATGTGTATGCTTAAATTTACTTAATTTTCAGTGACAGGATGTCAAATCTGTTAATGCTGGCATCTTATGACCAATATTGACAACTCATTGCCCCACATTACTAAGGGCCAGCAGCCCATGTGAGGTTTCCTTGTGTACCATTATGTTCCTATGGAATGAATGCAAGATGAGCATTGATTTGCCTCAAATCCAGAGACAGAGGTGCTCATCCACTAATGAACTGCTCTGGCTATGTAATGTGCATTGAATGCAGCATTCCTCAGCCCTGATTATTGCATAAGTGGTGTCAGTAGTAATTTGTGGTGTCCTTTGCCTACAGTATCCATCAACCATGGGCGACAAAAGTGGAAAGACAGCCCTGGAACCCATCCAGGAGTTCTCACTGGAATCTGACTCAGAGCTGAGATTTGAAGTACTGGAGCAGAACAAGAAAGCCAAGGTCACCCTGGAGCTGACAGCTGGTCTGGCTGAGATATTTGGCACAGAATTGGTGAAGAAAACAGTCTACACATTCCGCGCCGGAGCCAAGGTGGCCGTGTTCACGTGGCAAGGCGCACATGTTCGGCTACGCGGCCCCACTGACGTGGCATATGTAGCGAAGGAGACGCCGATGGTCATGTATCTGAACACACACGCGGCGCTGGAGCAGATGCGGCGGCGCGCTGAGAAGGAAAGTGGTCGCGGCCCCGTCTGTATGGTGGCCGGGCCGACCGACGTCGGCAAATCCACGCTTGCCACATTATTGGTCAACTACGCGGTGCGTGCCGGCCGCCGCCCACTTCTGGTCGACTTGGACGTGGGCCAGGGCGCCATCTCGGTGCCGGGCACCATAGGCGCCATGATGGTGGAGCGCGTGGCCGCCGTGGAGGAGGGCTTCACACAGACCTCGCCCATCGTGTACCACATGGGACACAAGAGCCCCGGCGACAACACAGCTTGCTACCGGCTACTGGCCAGCAAGCTGGCCGAGACCGTCAACAGCCGGATGCGTGCCAACCGACGCGCGGGCGCCAGCGGGTGCATCATCAACACCTGCGGCTGGGTCAAGGGCGGGGGATATAAGGCGCTGACGCACATCGCCGTGGCGTTCGAGGTGGATGTCGTGCTCGTGCTCGACCACGAGCGGCTCTACAATGAGCTGGTACGTGACATGCCGAACTTCGTGGAGGTCGTGTTCCTGCCCAAGAGCGGCGGCGTGTCGGAGCGAAACAAAATGCAGCGGATGGAAGCGCGCGACGCGCGCATCCGCAGCTACTTCTACGGCCAGTGCGGCGAGCTCTATCCGCACTCTTTCGATGTCAAGTTTTCCGACGTCAAGGTGTTCAAGATCGGCGCGCCCAAGATTCCCGAGTCGGCACTGCCGTTGGGTATGAAGATCGAGGACAACGACACCAAGATGGTTCCGGTAACACCAGGGCCGAATCTGCTTCACCACCTGCTGGCCGTCAGCTATGCGGAGTCGGTCGACGAGGACCTCATCACCACCAACATGGCCGGCGTAGTGTGCGTGACGGCCGTGGACACGGAGACCGAGACGCTGACGCTGCTCTCGCCACAGCCGCGCCCCTTGCCGCGCAGCGTGCTGCTCCTCTCAGAGGTTCAGTACATGGACACTCAGTAGCGGCCGGCACGCGGACGGCGGGCGCCATTGCATCCTGTCATCGGAGCCTCTGTGTTTGGTTGCTGTTCCTGGGTGATGCTCTGTGGGGGTTCGCCGACGACGTGCACTGAATGAAGCGGGGTTTAGGCTCCTGAGTGGTGTGTCGTGGAACAAATTGAGTTTGCGCCGTCATGTGAACGAGTCTGTCATTCACAAGTGCTCGGAGGCTGAAGTTCATCGATTTCTTCATGTGTCACGCGTGTGGTATTTCCAATACACGTGGTGAAAATATGTACAAATGAGGTTCGTTGTTTGAGACGGGATGCAGTATGAGCGAGCGGGGAACAGACATTCTTCGATGCACCAAACTGCTACATGCATTGTGACGCGTCCCACTCATGGATAGGTTACATGCCAGTTTCCAAGTCATTTCCTACTAGCAGCAGCGCGACGTCCCTGTTGCGGGGCTTTGCGTCCTTGCTATCCCGGATATAATACATCGCGTTTTGGATAACTTCAAATGACCGGCCACTGGCTGAGCAGCGCATGGTAAGAAACCGAGGTGAAGGTTGGACAGTAGCACGCGGGATGCCCCGTGGGGGGATATTTGTCGTATGACACCAGGTGACGTCCAGGTATGATCCCTTTATAACGGGGTAAAGCTGTTTGCGTCTACCACTGTCTGCGAGGACAAGGCTGGAAACACGCGCTGAATGCCGCGGCAAAAGTATGCTGGCGGTTAACGCCCCGGCGTACCCGCACCGCGCACAATATGGCTGGCACCTGCGCAATACCATCGGTCATTGCTACTGACAACCTTAAATGATAAATCATACCTGCAGGGGTAAGGTTTGCAGACAAAATAGTGTTGGTGTTTGCTCTTCCTTGGACCCCTCGAGCCTGGCTGGACCGCTCAGCTAAAAACTAAAACCAAGCCCGAACTATGATTAGGCGGATTTTAGCCGCAGTATCTACACAGCTCGCAGGTGAATCAAATGTGGTCCAACGCCGTGTCATTTCAACCTCAGAAGGCCGCCTTGTAGGTAGATGTAGACAAGTGTGGTACTAATGTCACCCGTTCTCGAGCCATTTTGATTTCGCATCCCAATTCCGGCGCATAGGCACAGCGTAAGGATGTCCAGGAAAAGTAGGGAGGGCCTGACACCTCTGTAGAGCTGAAAGGGTTGAACTTGGCAAGAATGGGAAGGTTGCACATAATTTTCAGCTATCCCCCACCTAAGGCACATGTCGGTGCAACAACACTGAACGTAACACTACGTGCTGCTCACAACCTGGCCTGTGCCACACGCTGATGCTTTGACCCTCAAACGGAGGCGTCGCTGTAAGTATTTTCGGCGGTCTGAGCCCACATGCTGATTTGAGGCCCCCCCCCCCCTCCAATGCTCACTTGTGCCAGCTGCCCTCAAATCTGACTTAAGACCCCCCACACCCCAATGCTGACTTGAGCCCCCTGCCCTCCAATGCCAATTTGGTACCATGCCCTTCAATGCTGACTTAAGCCCCCTGCTCCCAAATACTTGTTTGAGCCCCTAATCCCCTACTCTGATGCTGATGAACCCCCTCCCCCAATGCTGACCTGAGCCCCATCTCCAACATTCCTCTGAGCCCACTCAATGCACATGAGCAAAAGAAAAAAACAATACTGGGCCAAAGAACATCATAAAAATATTGAACTACTGGTATGCTGTGTCCAGAAATACCATTACATGAGTGTCATATTCAATTAGTACTAAATAACATCCAATAGGTGCCTAATGTTTTTGCATTGCTAACTATTTCAAATGTTAAGCCAATCTGCAGATGCTAGAGATTTTTCACATAACATCTCCACTGGTGTTAAGCACAACTGTCTGCAATTTGCAGCAGATTTCAAGGGTATGGGATTGCTCAAAACTAAACTCGAAAGTTAACCAAACCTGCAACTTTTGTGGACAAAATTAACAAAGAGTGTACCTTTAAACATAATTTCCTTTAATGTTCCACCACATAACCAGAGCTGTTCCCACATGTACACCAAGACCCCAGACATTTCCTGCTTAGACCAACTTCCAGCACAATTCAAAGCCTTGGTCACATTCGTTCAGTGGCCACACCTGACTCTTTCATCACTGGTCCTCCTGATGTCCTTGCATTTGTATTTGACGTAACTGTTGAGAGCATTGTGGAAGTAAGTTATGCTTCCAAAAATAGGCAGCATACCGTAATTTTCCACATGCCCTCATCCATACTCATGTCTACATGAAACCATCTTCTCACTCCCAAGGACAACCCGGATAAACAATGTACAACTTAAACGCTGACAAGGATTCGAATTGCCGACCTGTGCAGTGAATTACTTCCCATAGTAAGCATTTTACAAACGTACACTTTCATTGCCTTTAAGGGGCAGTCATCGCTCTGCGGATCAATCGCCCTCCACGAAATAGTTCCTTACTATTTCAATGTTGGGGCCACAAAATAGTGGCCGAAACCCGGGAAGAAATAATATTTTAATTGGAAGGTCAGGTTACTCTTATCGTACCTCTCCCAACCCAATTTTCAAGTGATATGCACGCCTATCCCTGGCGAAACCATGCTCCCCCATGTTTGTCGATTGGCCTTGATGGTCATCCATTTGTTTTGCGTCTCCTTTCGTCTCTTTCACAACCATCCCGCCAATCACTACTAATATAGAGCAGATACCAAGATGTGCCAGAATACTCTAGTACTTTGCTGCCCTGATGTTGTTGTGCGATACAAATATGATCTCTAGGTGTCTTAAATCATGATTTCAAAGATAAGATGCTTTCTATGGGATTCTTTTCTTGTATTTATGCTTTTTACAGGAGAGGAATATCTCGTTTTTTGTCCTCAGTGAAATACTCTTATGCAAACGGGAACCACAATTTCCTAGTTTTTTCAGATACAGTGGATAAAGCTGGGATTTTGAAGTTATGAATTCCAGATAATTGGTCTCAAACTCGGCCTATTTTGTGGAATTTGCTTCAAACATAATGACATTTTTGTTCTATTTGCCAAGCCTTGGACATCTCTAATTCAATAATTTCCCGAGCGCCATGATTGTATCAAATATACGCGTTGGCGACGTTGGTGACTCAACGTTGGTGCGTTTTATGAGGTGACGGGTGTTGGCCGTGTCGGGCGCATTTTAAACGTGAATAAGGAATTTCGGTGAGAGGGTAGGCCAACCAATGTGTTAATACTGACGTCTTATTCAAGACAGCTACCAGGCATCCGACGCTTTTGCTGGGTCTGTGATGTTCAAAGTGGGCAGTGCTGTCAGGTGAGTGCATGCTTTGTTTTGGTCACTGTTGCGTACGTGCCTAGGCTTGTTTTGCGAACTACATATGTAGTTAAGTGATGCAACATCGACGTGCACGCCGTTTCCTTTTAATTGACGACTCGGTCTTGTAAATGTTTTTTGTGTTTTCAAAAAGTAGGAATTTCAGGCATCTGTTGTTTGTGTAGGCTTCTCACGTGTGCCATAGAACCTGGGATAATGGCTCTGTATCAGTGTAGGCATAAAGAAATATCCTGTACAGTGTTGTATATCACATAGTTTTTGGTTCTACCAGGAAAATTCTGACTGATGCCATTTTGACAAATGTGGACCAAGGATGTCTGGAAAAATGTGGACTGATAATACTGGATCAGCACTATTTAAGTGATGTGTATTTGCCACACAGTGGCATACATATTTCAGTGGGGCACTGGTCCACATTTCTCCCTCATCAGTATTTTATGTGCATTGGTATGCATGTGAAGAAATGTTTGTGGAAGGCTGAAGCAAACCTGTGGAAGTTAGCACATTATAGATGTATTATTTGCCCTGCAAGAATTTCACTTTTCAGAAACTGATTTTTCATTGCAACTTTTTATGCTGTTTCCTGCCTGCTACTCCACTCAAAATCATGGTTATGCCCCTGATTCTACTTATCTCAACAAAACTTGATTTACTTGTATTGGTATATGGATGGACAAGTGGTAGTAGTGAAGGATGTGATAAAGACACATGATCCTGAGAAAGTTTTTAACATATTATGTTATTGTGTGCCTTTTAAGAAACTTTGTATGCCTGCAGCATGCTAACCTTTTTTTACAAAAGCTTGGCCCTTCCTCCCCATATTCATCCAAATTTCTGTATACATTGCTGCTATGTTGCACTCTGTTGATGCTTGCTAGAGCAGCCAGCTGGTGTGTTCTATGCTGTTACTTACTGACCTGTACAAAATGCAGGCTGCTTTAAGTATGCACTGACCAGTGAAAAAATCATGAGGCCATGTATACTCTTTAGGCAGTGTCAGCCATGCCATGCCATGCCATGCCATGGCCTGTTTGTTCTAATTTGTTATGTCTGGTATTGCTGAATTTCAATTATGCTGTGCAGCTATACCAATTTCATAGAATACTGTAGACAATTACATACACCTTAATACTGACTTGCCTCAGGTTACCTGCTAACTGTGCCATGTGCATAAGGTCTTGATTCCTCCCTGTGAATGCTTTATGTACAATGTCTTGATCACATAAGTCATAGCAAGATATGTTAGTTTAGGATATTTGTTGACTATGTATGTTACTTTTACATGTTGTTATTTCATTTTGATATCCATTGAATACTGTCATTTAACCAGGGCCTTATGGTATCTTTTATGTCAGTTGTTTTTAACACAAGATGTAATCACACCTTTAATATGGAGCCTTCTCAACAAAAAGTTCTGAAAGTGTTTGCCCAGGGATAGGAGGCCTGCCTGTTATGCTTGTTCAATGATTTTAGTTAATTCTGTCTGCAGCTTTGCAACCTAACCTAATATAAATTACAGAGTAAAGGGTTAAAGTACTAAATGTGATTTATGTATGTTACTTCTGATCTTACAAGTTGATCACAGGGATTGCTTTGTGTCTCATTTTATAAACTGTTCAAAGGAATGCTCCACCTTAAATGATATTGAAGCAAGCATCAGATATGATTAAATAGGCTCACTTATAGCTATTGATATGTTTTTGAGTGGAAAAGGGTGCTTTAGACAACACAGTTGTTCTCTTGAGTAAACATGCCCCTCAATACATCATTGTTATATCTTGTACAACATTGATTGAGATTCAGTTGACAGCTTGTATACCTGGAAATCATCCTCACAAATGCCAGATGTGGAGGATGACAGTTATATTTTTGTGGTCATGATTGCACTACATCTAAGGGAATGGCAGGATTGATGTGGCACTACTATGGTATGTTATATTTTTGTGGTCATGATTGCACCACATCTAAGGGAATGACAGGATTGATGTAGCATTACTATGGTATCATGGATGCCTTGATGGCCTCAAAATGGTCTCCCTGAAATAGTTTGTGCATCTTCATGGGGGTGCAAATAACCAGTGCAGTTGACACACCCTTAAAACTCAATAACTGTAACAATAGCTGTGGTATCTTCATGGGCATTTAGTTCAAAAACTAGACGAGTGTAGATCTTAAGAAAAGCAGGGCTGTGAACCTCACTGAGTGATCTTTAAGATGGCATTTTGAATTCAAATCCCCATAAAATGTGGATCATTTCCTTTAAGATATTGCTGGATGCCCCACAGCTCCACACAGCTTAAACCAAGGCTTACTTGTTAGACTAAAACATTGACTGTTAGATAATTTCACAGACAACCATATGTCACATGATGAAATGCATTTATATAGATGATATGCATCTTATGCTGCTGTCAGGTGGTGGAAAGTGTGCAATGTTTCTCTGGGGACATAGACATTTGTCTCATGCTCCCATACCTCAATCTGTAAACCACAGCTTTGTGTTGTTTGGATATTTGGGCATTCTAATTTCTGCAGCAAATGGGGCAGCAGGCTGCTCATTTTGGGCAGGCTCTGCAAATTGAAAACCTACATGCAAAGCATGAAGTCTTTCCTTATTCTCCTAGCCATTGGTAGCATGAACTTTCCCAAGGCAGCATAGGTTACATGTTTCAGGAATGTGTGCTCAAAGTTTCGTTTTCTCTTGTCCCTGCCCAATGGAGGTTTTGTTGAGATCTTCTGTGTTTTGTTGGCTGGTCTAAGACTCCATTGTCAGCAGTACAGTACTCTAGGCAAAGCACCGCCAGATTTTGCATTTTAGGGCGCGATGTTGTGGGAAAACTGTCTCACCCTTCAGGCAGCTTTCCAGGTATAAAACCCTAGCTGGTTTTGTGACAGCAAGTTTTATCATTTATTGCTTTATATGGTTGCTAGCAGCAGGGTGGTAATTAGCTCTAAGATCATGGAAGTCTATCCTTAATGTAGGTGTGATTGAATAAGCTAATGAACAATCAGATGGGTATTCCCTGGGTCTGGAATAGGTGACAAGCCTGTCAGACATAATTTTTTGTGTGCTGGCAGGTAATCCGACCCAGCCATGAACTCAATCGCGCAGAAGATTGATTTTACTATGCTGAGCGATGAAGAGCCGGAGAATGGCTGCGAGCTCTCCATCAACAGCATGTCGTCGGGCTGCGACACGGACGACTTCAAGCAGCTGTCGCCGGCGGCCGGCTCGCCGCGCCGCGGCGGCGACAGCCTGTTCCAGGCGCCGGCGATGACGTCCAGTCCGCGGCGCCTCTCGCGCCCTCCTCCGGCCAGCGAGACACCGGCGCTGCCGAAACACGCCAGCCGACTGGTGCGCGACCGGCTCGGCTCCACGTCGCCCTCGCCGCCCTACAAGCGCATCAAGGGTGAACTGCCGCCCTATGAGCACATGCAGGGTGAGCCAACGCTGCTGCCGAACTGCGGTCTGGTCCAGGTGGAGGCTGGCAGGAGTGAGTAGTTTCACAGACTTGGCTGGCTGCAGATCTGTGATGCAAATTGCATCTCAGCGGAATAGTTGGTGCCAACTTAACAGGCTGGATCATGTGTTGGCCAGCTGCCTTTTTGGCATATTTTTACTACTGGCTGCTTGTGGTCTGTGCCATTGCTTACCAACAGCATGACTAGTTCTGACTATTAGGTGACCAGATTCCTGCTGTGAGCATGGGCAAGTGGTGTGGGCTGACCCCATTATGGATTACTGGTGATGGGCTCTGTGTGGCTTATAAAACATGTTCTGCTGTGCTTTGCTGTAGCTGCTTATTTTATTGGCTACTTGCAATGGTGCTGGGATCCCAAGGGTGGATCCAGGATCCCATAGAGTTTCATGTTTAGCTGACCCTGGGATCTTGGGTCCAGGCACATGTCTGGCTACTTATGTTATTTTAGTATGTCTGTGCAGGCTGTGATTTTGTTAACAGCATTTACCCTAAATGTATTAACATATTTTATTTGATTTATCCCCATACTTCAGTGGGTTAAAAAGCTTGCTTTCTGATTCAGCCACCTGTGGTAGGGGGATTTTGAGTTACCTTGGGTGCTGGCAATTTGCCGCCGACTGGCCGGCGGCGGCGACTGGGATACAGGTATTCACTTCAGAGCGCAGGACGGACCATGCCGAACATTGCGACACAAATATTTTGCAGCAAAATTCTGCTTTTGGCCTGGAACCTCACAATCAGCTAGTGGTGTCAAGGCTCATGCACCAAGCACTGCTTTGGGCTAGTGCTGATCCCAGAAATTCATCCAGGCAAAAGGTCCAGGCAAAATATAATGTTTAGAATGTTGACTTCATTCATGGGATAAGCATATGTGCAATGACAGTGTTCTTCAAACTGTTAGAATATGCCCCGAAATTAAACATGTTGTTTGCCATCAACGAACATTTCACTTGTGCTTTCATTGTTTTGGATTATGTAGTCCATTCTGCAGCAGACCAGCATCGCATCTTCATCTCACCTGGCAGACGTGACCCCGCCGGTCATGGCGTGCGTGTGAGCACATGGCCAGCCTTGCAGCGCCGCTGACTGTGTGCCGTTGCTGACGGGCGCAGGTCTGCACCTGGGCGACGTGCCGACCACGCCGCGTACTATCCTGGAGGACTGCATGATGCCGCCGCAGACGCCACGCGACGTCAACGCCAACAGTCTGCTGCGCTCGCGGCCCTACTGCCGCAAGGTGGCGGCACGCACGCGCGTCCTGGGCAGCGCCTCGGTCGAGAGGGAGGCCGCCAACAAGCCGGCAGCCAACATCAACCCGTTCACGCCGCGTGGCCGCCAGATCAACGAGCGCAAGCGGCTGCGGGACAGTATCAGCGGCACTGACGGGTGCGTGGCGGCGCCCTTCGTGAGGCTCTCAGGGCTTTAGCACGACGGCGATGCGGATGGTGGCGTGGCAGATGGGTGTCAGTATCGGTCAGATGAGGTAGATTTTTGCTGTCTGAAAAATTGCACCCAAAATGTGTGGTGCAAGCATTGTCCTTTTTTTTGGTTTCGAAGGGACATGGGTGCGGCGCTTTCTCCAGTGAAGAACGCATCCAATGATGTGTATTAACCTGGAGTGTGCCACAGCTTGCCCAAATCCGAGCTGTTGGTCACGTTAGCCAGACCCCAGCCGCATGTGTGCTCGTTGTCGATGTTGGCGCGGTGTGGTGACGCGGGCCCCCTGTGCGAGTCCTGGGAGCTCGTCGCCCATCTGACCGCCGTGTGTGTCCGGTGTTGGCCAGGTCACTGCTGTCCGTCTCCACGGACTGCTCCACGGACGGCGAGGCGGACGAGGCGCTTCCCACCAAGCGGCTGGCGCTCGCCGACGCCAATGTCTCGCGGCTGGAGAAGGAGTTTATCATGCAGGGGGAGGTGGGCAGCGGGCAGTTCGGCCAGGTGTTCCGCTGCACCAACCGGCTGGACGGCTGCACATACGCCATCAAGCGCAGCCACAAGCCCGTAGCCGGCAGCTCGCACGAGTGAGTAGCGCGCCGTCCCCGGATCGGGCGTGAGCAGCTCTGGTGAATGCTGGCCCGGAGTGGTTCAACCGGTTAAGGATGCCAGTTTGGCCATGAAAAACGTAAATCGCGTGGCCGCGTCGCGCGTCCCTGACGTGCGTGGTCGTGAATGAACGCTGGCAGTATAATAATGACGCCAGACGCATCCTGCTGTTGCTGGATGGCGGGCAGGCTATCTGTGTTCCGTCCGTCACAATTCGCGAAGGACTCGACGTGTTACACTTAACTGAAAAAAACAGTGCTGAGTCATGCATCTTGCACGGTTGAATGATGAATCCCTTTGGCCGATGGGCGTGAACTAAGGTAGACATTGCACTGAGGCGGTGCTCTAGCGTCTGAACCACGGCCAGGACGCCACTAATATGGCGCGCTCGTTTGCTCACCACGCCGGCTATATTTACAGACGCAGCGCGCTCAACGAGGTTTACGCGCACGCGGTGCTGGGCAAGCACCAGTACATCGTGCGCTACTACTCTGCCTGGGCCGAGAGGAACCACATGCTGATCCAGAACGAGTTCTGCACGCGCAGCAGCTTGGCCGCCCTACTGGAGCAGCACCGGGCGGCCGGCACGCTGCTCCCAGAGGCGGAGATCAAGCGCATGATCACGCACGTGGCGCGCGGACTCAGGTGAGGCGGCCGCTCCGCTGCTCCCGGCTGGCGCACTGCGGGGTCTTGCTGTAGAGACGCTCGTCATTGCCTTTCCCTATGTATGACAGACTGGCATTCGTTAAGATCTTTCGGAGGAAAGAACGATTCGTGATGAACGAATGCCATGTTCTCAAGACGGTACTCTTGACGCTACTGGTGCCAGGTAAAATTGAGCCCCTCGCATCAATGTGAGGCGCCGAGCGCAATGATTGCACCGCGGGGGTCGCCACGGGGCCGCCTTGTTCGTGCGGCAGCCACGGAGATAGCGCTGCCGCGCCGTCGTCCGGGAGACAGGGGACGGACGCCGCACGCCGTTATGCGTGATGCCGTGCTCACCGCCTGGCCGCTGTCGACAGGTACATCCACTCGATGCGCCTGTGCCACCTGGACCTGAAACCGGGCAACATCTTCCTTACGGATAACGAGCTGTTCTCCGGCGAGCGGCGCGCCGCCTCGCGCATGGAGGACGACGCCAGTGTCGTGTCATCCGACGACGGCTTCGACGAGGATCTGGCCGAGGAGGACGACGAGGTCATCTACAAGATAGGTGCGCGTCACTGTCGTCGCTGGCAGGATGCTCATTTGTGCTTGTGCCCTGTGTGCGGGACTGAGCTTGGTGAAGGATGGAGTGCGGGGAGGGTGCACACGCGGGTTCACGCCGCCGCCAATGACGAGGCGTGACGTCAGAAGGTGACCACGGACCGCCTCTTGGCCGGCTGTGCGCCGTCTCATGGCCGACAAGGGCCAGCAATTGGTTGAAAAGTGCCGTGTTCGTCGATCAAAGCCTTGCCACTTTTCATCCAATGTGTCCGCACGTATGGGCACCGTCATAGGCCGGGAGCATGGAAACGAACCGCTTGAACACAGTCTGCCAGACCGTGGGATGTTGTGTTTTAAGGGAAGCGCAATGCTGACCTCACGCGGCCCACTCGTCAGGTGACTTTGGCCACGTGACGGCGCTGGACGACAGCCAGGTGGAGGAGGGCGACTGTCGCTACATGCCGCGGGAGATCCTGCAGGAGGACTACAGCAGCCTGGCCAAGGCCGACATGTTCGCGCTGGGCCTGACTGCGTACGAGTGCGCCAGCGGCCAGCCGCTGCCTAAGAACGGCAAGCTGTGGCAGCAGCTGCGCAACGGCGTCCTGCCGCCGCTGCCCGGCTTCTCTGACGAACTGTACCGGCTCATCCGGGTGAGCCAGGCGCGGGACATGGCCCAACGGAGGGGGGAGGGGGCACGGTCAGCCGCACCGGGAGGCCGAGCGCGGGAGACGGCTCGTGGTGGGGAAGGCACGACAGCCGCACCGGGGAGGCCGAGCGCGGGAGACGGCTCGTGGTGGGGGAAGGCACGACAGCCGCACCGGGGAGGCCGAGCGTGGGAGACGGCTCGTGGTGGGGCAAGGCAGGGCAGTCGCACCGGAAGGCCGAGCGTGGGAGATGGCTCGTGGTGGGGGAAGCCAGGGCAGCGGCACCGGGGAGGCAGAGCGCGGGATGGGGTTCGGAGTGCTTTGTGTCGGGTGGCGCGACAACTCCGTGGGGGGTCTGTGTTCAATGCATGGGCATTGGGGCCAATTGTTGCACCTTTGGAATATCACGCTAATTCCAGATATTGTCAGGGACTCTGGCAAGCTAGGAATGCCCCCATTGGATTAACCGACGACGATTGTCCCTGCAGGTCGTTTGATATGTTCCATTCGGTTCCATGCAAGAACTTCGTTGGCAGCTTCCTGCGGCTGCCCAGTCGTGCCATTTTTAGCTTATTGTAATAGCTTGCAGGAGCTGATATTGGCCGTCTCTGGTGCTAGGAAAAATAGCTGGTCCGTCTTCTTTCTTTTCATGCATTACATCGTGCAGGTCTGCTGACGGTTAGCTGCGACAAGTCGTTCTTTTATATCGCGCATGTATTTAGTCCGCCGCCTTCTGCCGCGTGGCATGGCGTCTGACCGTGACCTGCCCGCCGGCAGCTGCTGATCGATCCGGACCCCGCGCGCCGGCCCAGCGCCGCCGAGCTGCTGGCGCACCCCTACCAGCTGCCGGCCAGCTGCCGCAGCCGCGCCCAGCTGCGCCGCCAGCTCAACGCCGAGCGGCTGCAGAACCAGCGGTTGCGTTCACAGCTGGCGGACCTGAGCGCACACGGCTCGCCGGAGCGGGGCGCCGCCGCCGCCGGCGGTGGTGATGGTGGAGGCCGCCTGCTGGGCCGCGGCACGCCCCGCAGCCGCAGCAGCACCTTCTGAGAGGCGCCGTTTTACCGCTCGACGCGGCCGCGCCGGCCCCGCCGCCGGCCGGCATGTCTTCCCGCGACCTGTGTCGGTCGTGACCGCTGTATGTGTGAGTGTATTTGCCGCATGTCTGGGCGGGCCCTGCGCAGGCTCTTGGCCGCTCTTAATGGTGGGCGTGTCGTCTCCGGCGCGATTCGGCGGCTTTTAATTGGAACTAATCGGAACGGCGCAGGTCCGAGCCGCCACTTGTCGACACGCACTTCATCAGGGTTTAGTCTTTCAGCATGCCGTTTACGAGGAGTGGCGCGAGGTTGTGACAAGGAGCTTGAGTTTGTAGGCGGTGTCCCGTGTGTACATAATCAGTGTGTGGCTGCCGTAACTCTGGCGACCGGCGCGCCGCCGCGTCGCGGCAGTTGCTAGTTTTATGAACCTTTTCGTGGCGCGTCTGTTGCCGAGTGGTACATGTAATCATGAGTCGTACTGGGCAGCGTGCGCTGCGAGTGCCTTGAGCGTGGCTGTGAGCGCCAGCGGGACAGAGATGTGACGAGACCGACCGACCGACCCAGTTGGCTATTTTATTCGTCTTTATTGAACGTTTCCAATAAAGGCCGGCTGAATAGGCATTGCAGGTGACTTGTGCCCGGGCGTCGGAGGCACACGGAGAGGGCGCTAGCCGGGCGGCCAGCCCATCTGGCGGCCGCCTAGCACGTGCAGGTGCAGGTGGTACACCGACTGCGCACCGTCCGGTCCATTGTTGATCACTGAAAGGAACAATCACGTCAGCCGGGCATCGGACATTGAGCAAATACCCACGTTGCACCAAATACCCCTCCCGGTCAGACACCGACTGGCACCGCTAAAGGTCAGCAGCGTCACCGGCACGGCGTACCAGCGTCGCGGCCGGCAAGCGTCGCGATGAAATGGAGCAGTAAATCATCATAAGGCCTTTGGATTCCGGGGAATTCTCCAGACCGCCCAAAAAAGCCTGTTTCGAAGGATGGGTGAAACATGTAAAATGAAGCGTTGTGTTCTGACCTGAGTTGCATCCAAGCGCATGACTTAACATATCAATGCCATGGACATATTGGTTGGCAATAATAACACATGTGGGAGATGATGCCGATTTCCATATAATTCTGTCTGCGCCCGCATATGTGGGGGGAATGCGCCCTTCTCCATCCATTGCACAGCGTTTCCAGAAAAAATTGTCGAGCGGCGTTTAACCAAATGTGACAAACCTGAATGCCTTCTTGCCGGGGAACCACCAAGGCGAAAAGCACATTTGACGATGCGAAGACGCCGATATTTTTAAAAGATGAATACCAATAAGCCGAGACGGAATTTAGGTAAATAGCAGTCAAATGGTACTGGTCAATAACTGGTCAATAAGCCGAATGTGTTGTCAAAATGTAACTTCGACGAATGAAAAATCACCGGATGGTTAATCAATCAGAAATCCTTGTGGAGGACGCAACGAGCGGCTATTAGATAAACATAAATTCGTCACGTGACCAATTAACGTAATTCATTTTGTGGAAAAGCAAACTGGACGATCTGAAATGGTCTGGAGTCCGCTGACCGTAAGAGGAGGGTCATAAATACGCTACGCATTGCCAACGTTGTTGGTACGGCATAACCAATGCTGCTAAGGACATGGAGGAATTCGCCTAGGTTTGGCTGGTTAAGTACATGATATAGCTGGACGACCCAATGGGACAATACCCTTCGTCCCTGAGACCTGACATGATAAACGACGGCTCACATTTATCGGTGTCAACTAATATCGATCCGATAGAGGTTTTTAAGTGACGCTGCCTTCCGCGTGCTTCGTTCGTGTGCCTAAAAGAGGGTGGACTTAATTTGACCTGCCTTGTCATATTTGCCATCGCTCGGTCACGCCAATCGTATACAGCTCCACAACAGCTTTCCAATGCCGTATTTTCCGGGGTTCTGGCTTGCTTAGTTTTCTACATATTGGAAGTGTGTGGGGACATAACAGGGGGGGGGCAGGGGCGCTGAGGCCTCCTCTCGTAGGGTGACTGGTAAAAACGTCCACAGGGCGAAGGCTAAGAGGCCTCTGTCAGCAATATACAAACGTATTTCGACGCATAAGCATTTCACTAGAAAGCATTTTGCCCGATTACAATAAGACCAAAACACCTTTTGGTAGGATGTCTTTGACTAAAGAGCATTTGACATTTGACACACCGACTACGTCAAATGTGTATGACCAATGTTTGTTATTTGACACATCAAAGAACATGTTGGCTTATCGACATTCGATTACAAGCAATTTCGGCAACTTGGCATTCCATTCAAGAAATTTCGGCTTTTAGATCTTGTGCATTGACATTCGACTGAAGATCGTTTTGGCAACTGGCGTTTCAGTACATAACACTTTGACAAATAGGCATTTAGCAAACTACATCTCGACGCATCAACATTCCGTCCACTTGATGCATCGGCAACAAGGCATGTCGGCAACTTGTTCTCCGGCTTCCGGCACCTGGACCACACAAACGAAAGCAGGTGACAAGCATTCAAGTCCGGTAGCAGGGACGGCGTTGGACGGAGCAGGGCGAATGACGGTCGAAATGTGTACCCGGCAGCAGCCGCTCCAGATGAAGCGGGGCGAATGACGATCAAAGCGTGTACCCGGCAGCAACCGCTCCAGATGAAGCAGGGCAAATGATGACCAAAGCGTGTGCCCGGCAGCGGCCGCTCCAGATGAAGTGGGGCAAATGATAACCAAAGCGTGTACCCGGCAGCGGCCGCTCCAGATGAAGCGGGGCAAATGATAACCAAAGCGTGTACCCGGCAGCGGCCGCTCCAGATGAAGCGGGGCAAATGATAACCAAAGCGTGTACCCGGCAGCGGCCGCTCCAGATGAAGCGGGGCAAATGATAACCAAAGCGTGTACCCGGCAGCGGCCGCTCCCGGCGGGGCGTGGGATTGATGACGGGTCAGGCGAGGCTGACTGAGCCTCAACCATTCTGCTAACACCTTACCCAGTCGGAATCCCTTTTCCAGTTTCTCCTGTGCAGCAGTCTTCTTGGCAACCAGCATCAGATGTCCGAGAAGCTGCGAACATCAGACGAGTTCAGCGCCATGCCACGGTCGTCGCCGTACACAGCACCGCTGACAACCCCCAAAGTGCAAAGGACACGCCCTGATAGCCCGTGCAACCCTCTGTGTGAGTGGCAGGATATGGTGTCGGCATGGGCCTTGGCCAGGGGCGTGGTTTCCGATTCGGCTGACTCCCCCCTTCCCTCCAATTTTGAGAAGTGGATCAAATCCGGAGAGAAGCCTGTTTGTTTGTTGAGTTTTGGTGTTGGGTTCCATCATGCCCTCCAGTTATGTTAAGAAACTACACTGCTGATCTGGCACTTCAAGAGCCAGGCTTGTTTGCATGTATGGCTGCTTTCACTCATGCACCATGCTTCAGTCACCCTTCGCGAGCAGGCTCATAACACGATGTGAAGGGTCGGCAGGCTAGGCCAGGAGAGATGTCGGTTTTTACCCGCAGGGTATGCTGCACGCAGCTTAATTTTTCCACCAGCGTGAAGTCTTCAACGACCTGGTCTGACCACATCGTGTTCCCCGCCCAACACATGACTGACATGTTGAGCCAAGACGAAACTGGTATGTCGCCGAGCACAAGTCTGCTGAGACTTGACATATCACATGCACTCTTGCAACAATGACCTAAGTGCGAAAACCGGACAAAATGCCATATTTCAACACAAAACATCGAGGCTTCCGTTTGCCCACGTCATGACGTCCAGCTGATCCATTTAATGAGATACATAATGCAAATGAGAAGGTGGTCAAGAAAACCAAGGGACTGAAAAAGTGTGAGAGGTACTGTAAGTATGCATTCTGCACACAATGCTAGTGGCACTGTATAGGCAGCATATATAAGTGTGAACTAAGATTTTTCAAATGAACTCTCATACATCAAGCACTATCTGCATTGGCCTCACCTGATCATCTCAAGAATAAACATGGCATGACAACAAAACTAACAATGGTGGATGGCCGCCAGTACCGCTGAAGTAACCGTTGGTTGACATGGCATGCAATGGGCCAAACCAGGTATGGAAAAGCAAAACAATATCTCATGTAAAGAATTACTAGGTTCAAAATCTTATGCTGAGTTTATGACCAGTAATCCAGGGGGTTACAGTCAAATGGCGCTACAGTGCTAAATAACAATTTTTGATGACACTTAAAAATTTGAGCTGTACACATCCTCAAAAGAGAGCACAGCCCTCTTAATAACTCTACTAATGAGAAAACAGCCTGAAATATTGAGCACAGTCTGTTTAATTATCATCAAGCACTACAACATTGTTTCCACATTCCCTGGTCTAATGCAGATCACTAACTCAACATAAAAACTGAAAACTCTTAGTGGCAGAAGAGCAGGAACTGTAGGACTTTCATAAAAAGTTGACAAACTTTTATAAACATAAAAAACTTCTTGATTTGTCAAGTTCAGCAACCTTAGGCAGCAGGAAAACTTTATTTGAGAAAATCACATTGTCATGTAGTACAATAAGATGCATTATATATAAATACATATAAGCTCTTTCAGCACATATTTTTCAATAGACACATGTTATTGTCTGCCTGATCACAAAACACAACAAACATGACAAGAAAACAGATGAGTCAAAAAGCTGTTGCACAACTGTTTATCAAACTTTTAACACCATGATTTAAGATGTTTAAGGCTATTCCAGGCAAACCACAGTACCTTCCGAGGCTCCCTCCCCTGGGAAGGTTGTCATAGAGCAAAGCTGGATATTCAAAAACTTACAACTGCATAATACATTACACTACTTTGTAAAATATGTAAGCAATGCATCATCTGGGATTTAAACACAAACCTTTTCATCAGCATCTTCAGCCTCAGAGAGGGCACCAATACGCTTCTTCGGTATGACTAGGAAGTGGACCGGTGCCTGGGCATTTATATCACGGAAGCGCCAGGCACTGTTCATCCTCATAAATTATGTCAGCAGGGATTGACTTGTCAATGATCTTGTCAAAGATGGTGGGTCCTGGCACTGGCTTTGCTGCCTGGGCCTTCTGCACCTCATCACTCATGGTGCGCCGACTCCAGGTGCTATTGGTCTGGAAATGAACATTGTGCAGCCATTACAACTTCTCTTTGCAAATCATTTCAAAAGTGAATGGTGGTATGTCCCTGAAATGCTGGACAGAGAAAATGGCACATGCTGTTATGCATACCCACATACCAATAGCCTTGAACACTTTTTATTGCTAAGGCATCCTAAATGATGTGTGTGATGTGAATACTGGCACAATGGCCGGTGCATAATGTATCTGAAATTCAAGCAATCTGCACGCTCCTCTTTCCCATATTGCACATACCAACAAGGCTGGACTTGTACTGGCCAATGCTTTGGACAGCCAGGTGGCAGAAGAAACATGAAAAATCAGCCTTGGAAGCATATTCCTGAAACAAAGTCTGTTTTGCTTCAGCTGAACTGAAGCTAACACCTTATGTAGATTGGAGTTAGTTTTTAGAACAAATATAACTATAACTGCATTTTATTATGGCAGTTACATCACAGTTTGCCAATAAGTTGCATTCAAATGCTGAAAAGCTAGCAGCATGCTTATGTCAGCATATAACACCCTAATAACATGCCTACTGTAGCAAAACTGTAGGGGAATAACTGTACCATGAATGAATGACATCATACAAAAGTGATAAGAGTTCTAGATCTCCAAGCAGATCTCCATCTACCGACTACCTCAAAGGCAACATGTCTCATGTTGTTTCCTTTAACCTTGGTGAGCTAACCCTACAATGCCTCCAAAAGAAAATTTAGCAACTGTATGTACTGAGACAGGAAAGGGCTTTCAGTTAGCCTAGGCTATATGAATATGCTCCTCACACAATAAAAATATCAGTCTTCTGTAACTTAGGTATGAAAGCTTCTCCATGGTTGTTCTCACATCACTTCCCCATACTTCCCCAGCAAACCTAGTGGCTGACCCTGCCACCTTGCAGCCTTGCAGATTGCAGGATCAATCTGAATAAGAGTTCTATCCATATGCAAAGTAATAAAACATAAAGTAAAATACCAACACTGCACACAATTTTTTCACATTTATTGACAAGCCTATTTAAAATGGAACATCAAGAGTGTTCATCACACACCACTTCTCATGAGTCATTCATCTTAATGAAACCATGGCTCAGTATAACAGCATAACTTGGAAATTTACCCCAAACTTTTGCATACCAACCATCCAAGCAATTTTCAGCACTGTGACTATTCTGATTCACGAAAACCAAATTGACAGCAGAAATTGTATCAGTCTTAAATATGAATTAAATGGAACTGTACTATAGCCCTGACTTCCACATGATTCAAAACCTGCCAACGCCCGTTAGGTTAGTCAGGCAAAATCTTGACTGGCTCATTCATGAAATGATATCGAGCTCAAACCACACAATTTATCCTACACTGGAATTCAAACAGAAATACGCGAAAGAAACAAGAAGGTAACAATCTGATAGACGGATCGGTCTTTTACCTCCCCACACAGCCCACACATACCTCACTCACCACCGAACTGCGCCAAATGATAACGCTCCCACCAGTGTACGACGGTTATGGCGCTTATGAGTCGGTCCTGTCTGATGCCACTTATTTGCTGCCACGATAGGGGCGTAGGTGGGCGTAGGCCATCTCTAGAACTCTGCGCCTAATTATAATATATTACTACACAAATGCCATACTTGTTGCATGCATCTTACGCAAACCATTTTTCAGGGCTGCATAAGCTGTCAATCAAAAGTTTATGCAAGTGTCAAGTTCCGGTACTGAACCCTGCCTCACTGCGGTGACGGATCCAGGATTTCGTTAATGGGGTGGGTGGGTGGGGGGGGGGGGGGGAGGGGGGAACTACTTAATATTTTGTGTCCTGGAGTTTGGGCCTCCTCTAAAAATCACCAGATTTCGACCATTAAATACTTACATGTTTTTGTTTTTATGGGAAGCCATCTTCCCTGCGCGCAACTTTAGCAAACTAGACGTGTTATCCATGTTGCACGTACAAACATGGAACGCGTTCATTTCTGTTGGAGCATAGTGTAGCTTGCCATTTCGAAGCTAAGCAGATCTGAGAAAATTCAGCAAAATGAGCTCAAGTGAGCTTAGATGCCATTAAAATCAAGCACGGCACTCATGAGAGAGGCCACACACCCTCAATTTTTCATAGGGAGAGGGAGCGAGATCGTAAAATCATCACATCAGTACCTGAATGCAAAATGTGCGAGAAATCATGCCTTAGATAACTAGTACTCTCGTAAATGGTCATTTTCATGCAAACTTATGTGCCTTGCACCGCACCACTGTAAGACACGGAGGCACGGAACCGGGGATAGGGACTGAGGCTGAGACACACTACTTCCTGAAAAGTCAGATTTGGCCTTTTGGGCGTTGGCTGGAAAGAATTATTCCAAATAGCTATCATCCTCTTTCCTTCTCAGCGTGAAAGGCCGTCCGTTGCCACATGTCGGCGAAAAAGCAAATTTTCGCATTTGCGTAGTTTCCTCTCAACACAATACATATAGTATCATCTAGACTGATTGGCGATGTAATGTACCAGTGTATAAACGTTTGCTCGTTGGTGGCTTAAGCTTCATAGGGTGATATTTCATATATATTTGCTCCACAGCTACGATATGGCTGAAACAGCCGGCTTCAAAAGTGTTTAGTCTGCTTGTGGGAAAAATGATAACAGACTACCGTGGCGACAAAAAACATTTAGGCGATGCACTGGTTGAGAATCACAGGGTTCACATACTCCTTATAGGTCTACACCAACGCTGTTTATTGTGGGACCCCAAGTGCAGCCAATTATCTGACGTGATGCGTTCAGACTGTCAGGAGGGACTGCCGCATGAGCTGAACCCCTTCGATCCAGGTGAAGGCGATGTACGTGGCACACTAGTGCTGTGGTGATCCCTTCTGCATTACCATTAAGAGAAATAGGTTTTCAGCCTCTGTCGCGCACTGAAACCGTGTTCCGTTGGGGCTGAGATGACCGTCAGGGTCATGAGAGAACGGTCAATTTTGACGACTTCGGGGGATGGGTTCCTATGCGCTTGTGCCTCGTATTACGGGGAACAGACTGTGGGAAGGGATATAGTTGTCTCTTAGCAAATGGTGATGGAACAGTTGTCACCTTGCTCCTCAGGTGGCGCTCCTTGGCCTGCCGGTTGGTGTACACAGCTTCTACGCGACCAGCAGTAAGAATGTATGATGTTGCGAGCTTAAAAGGAGAGAACAAATGAATTACACGGATCATCTCCAGGTTACGTAAGGGGTACGTTACGGCTTGGAGATAAAGTAAAGACATTTGAGGTCCGTTGCGATAGGTTACTTGTTTAGAACGCTTGCCTTCCAATCCGCCTGATCGCGGCGAGGTTGGTCTGAATTGTTTTAGGCGCTTGATATATTGATATGGTCTGTGGCCGGCAGCAGCGGCCGCCGTAAAGGTCAGGTGACGTCAAATGGCAGGACAGACCGTGCCGTGCCTTGCGGCACCTTAAACTTTCCCCCTCAAAGTCTGACGTTGACCTGAAATTGCACGATCGGTGGCAAGGGTGCTCATTTAGGAAGATGGGGAGGGGGGGGAGGGGGAGGGGTCTTTGGTCCAGTGCGTGCACTGCGCGGCTGCCTGGCTGCCACCGGTGTTTTGCGTCGCTGGCTGCCGCCCTCACGCCTTTGCACAACAGCAAATTATAATGAGGAGCCCACTGGTCGGCATACCAGCCGAATGGTGTTAAGAGTACGACTCGGCAGGCATAGACTCAAGCACACCCGACATCTACATACATGTAAGCTACAGAACTAGGATGAAACAGGTTACCGGCGTATTGGCGGAATGGTAGGTCCGGTCAGACACCATGAACGGATTTCTCACTGTACATGGCTGTGCGCCCTTCAGCATTGTATTTACCTCCATCGTTTACCTGGTGATGATACTTAAACGGATCAAACACGGGACCAAATGCATTGAGAAAGGTTTTCCCGTCCTGAATCCCACGGCACGCCCAAATCGGCAGGGATCTTATGCAACCGGCGAATTACATTGGCAAGGGCCCGCTGAATATCAACGCCCTAAGCCATCTGGTCGTTAACATTTCCACACAGACGTCATGCATTCGACTCCCCCACCACAGTCACTTCAAGTAAGTAAATCCGCTGGCGCCCACTTCACCCCACTCATGCTTGGCTGCGCACGGATAGCCCCCTCCCCTTTGGTCCTCTCCCTCGTTGAGGTAAATTAGATCTCATTTAACCCATTTCGAACATGCAATGAAGTCATGTTTGCGCCCCATTTAAAATATACATCAAGTAAATTTGTTATCAGCTTGGCACCGACGCGGCTACTGGGCCGGCGTCAGATGTACCAAAGCTGGACGACCACTCGTTCCTTCACCTGGCCTCCTGGATGACAGCTCTTTATTTGAACGACGCTCACTAGCGTCTCGTCCCCGATGAGGCGGTCCACTACTCTTACCACGCCCACAGCTCGCAGCTTTCCACTCACTCACTCACTCACTCACTCACTCACTAACTCACTCACTCACTCACTCACTCACTCACTCACTCACTCACTCACTCACTCACTCACTCACTCACTCACTCACTCACTCACTTCGCAGCACAAGCATTCGGCGGCGAGCCGTCCAGTACGGGAACGTCGCCTCCAGCGCTCCTGTGCCCTCGCCTCCCGCCTGCCGGAGTGAGCTTTGCAAGACACCGCCCCACGGCGCGCCCCTCAGAGGGCTGGAGGCAGACAATGCACCTGATGGGACGGTAGAGACCATTGGCAGGCAGCGAGCACCCGGCATGACCTGCGTTTGCGCATTACGGTCTCCTCGCCCGGCACACTTTGGCGACTGGGCCCGACCGGCCTGACTTAGTCCCTTGTCGCCCTCCCTATGAGCGTCGATGGCGGGACCTCCTTTCGTACCGAACATTTCGTCCACCAAGGGCCTGCAAGGCATGGTGCACACCACATCAGAAGAGAACGGGCTGAGCCCCGATATCTCATGAGGCGTTGCGCTCCAACGGATAGACACAGTTACCGACGGGCATAGCCCTTCATCCCGGGCGGCCCGAACTGGCCCCCGGCCATATCGTATGACCTTTGTCTCTTCATGCCGTCACGCACGCCTGAGGTGGAGTGCGGGACAACCGAACGAGTCGACCGTCTCCAACTCCAAAAAGGATGATATCGTGCCTTCGAGTCGCGCTACCCAGCAAACATTCATCTGTATGAGATTCATATAGCCTTTTTTAAGCATGTAGCCTTTCTCATAAAGGCAGTTTTTTGTACATTCGTATCATAGTTTGTAAATGTGTATGTGTAGTTGTAAAAATGTGTTCCGCAAAGCAGAAGCCTACAAACAAGAACTACAAGTTACAGATGTACAAAACCACACGCAAAAACTTACAAATCTCTCGAGAATTTCTACAACCGTACCTGGGTATATTTCATAAAGGCCAGCTGATTTTCCAGCCACGGTGCATTTACAAGATTAAAAGCACAAATCACAAATACAAATCAACGATGGCCTGCCCCGTTGTAGAAGAGGTGATCGTAAGCTTAAGGCAATGCCAGTAGCGACAATGGTTTGTGGACACGAAGCTCGCTGAAGAAGGAGGCTTGCAAGAATCTCCCGGGGGCAAAATAAGCAAGTTCTCAGAGCAAGTGGAAGGAAAAACGAGTTCGCAGAACACAACGCTCAGAGGAAGCAGCCCAGTGATGGTGTTGGTGGGTATAATCATATCTAACTCGGCGTATGGCCCGTGCAACCAAGCGTGCAGCAAATTTATTCCTTTGCACTATTATCCATCACTATATGTGACCTTCGCAGCCGCACCGATCAAAATCCTGCTGTCTTGTGCTCGTTGATGGGTTGAGGGGGTATTGATACGAAGGCGATCATCTTCCGTGAGTAGGCCTTCTGGCATCCAAGTCACTAACAGGATGAAATGGCTGTGCTAATAAATTATTAAATGTCTCAATTTTAAGTATAGTTTCTACTCACGCAAGTGAAAGCAGGTATACTCATCCTGTCAAACTGCGGGCATGCGACCACATTCACCTTGACGCCAAACAGGGACAGCTATCGCCGGTGTGAACGAGACATGAATCCCATGTCTGTGAGTAGAATATAGGTGCCGTCCATCATGGTAAGAGAATACTAGCATCATGCTGGTTCACTGAGCCACTGTTTCGCTGGTTGCCCTGACAGTGTCAATATTCTGTTCACTTCTGCTTAAAACTGTAAGACGCACGGTGAATACAATGACAAATGTACTTGATTGCTGGTATTGGGGAACCTAATGTTCTGTTCTTTGCTTCCGATACGTTATTTTGTGTTTGTTTACAAGCCGCAGTATTTATGATGATCCATAGCATAATTTGTTTTTTCCGCGTTCGTCGGACATTGGCAGCGTCAGCTGGCGGGTGAAACACTGGAGGGGGTGGAGGGGGAGGGGGCATCATTAGATTTCCTACCGGTGGAATCCGTGCGACTCAGCACAAGGCAATGACGTCAC